ACATTTTAGTAATAAATTGGTATATATTGCCCTCTAGTGTCTTCCCAGCATATTACCTTGCATTCGTAATGCTGTGCAGGAGTCTCTCGGTTTGCTCTGAGAGGTCGGAGGGCACCAGGATTTCAACAGGGTTGATTTTAAGGACACGGCATTCCAGCTCAGAGCGAGAGGGACCGTCAGGAAAACAGTCCAGAAGCACGTCGCCGGTGCTGGGCTGAACTGCCTGCAGACACAAACACATGCTGTGAATCAGATGATGTCAAAGATGTGCAGCTACAGCTCCAAGTTGACAGTTATACACTGTATAAACTGAAAAATGGCAAAGCATGTTCAAATTTTATTAAAGTAACTTTTTGTCTTAAGTGAGCTATTAATCAAGATTTAATTTCTTTACAATTTCTTCTTCACTACAAGTGAGTGTGTGGTGTTATTACACTATCAGCATGCAAAGAAACTGAACAGTGAACATTAAATTATTTTAAAATAATACACAACAGTCCCCTAATGTGTGTTGAACAAAAAGCCAAGGGGTAACCCTACTTTTAAATTAAAATTTTGATTTTCATCTCTTATACACAGAATAACTGAAGAACAATCAGCCTAATGGCCAGGTGGGATTCATGGATTGACTTATGAAACTCACCACAAGTCCTACAGTGAGCTGCTTCTTCAGTTTGTCCCAATTCTCACTAATACAAAGCAGGAAACTGTCGGGAGGGTCCGACACAACATCATCACAGCCCCCCTCCTCCACATCCCCGAGTCTGCAGACCGGATTTACATCTTTTAAAAAAACTGTCAAGGAAACTGTTTCAAACAAAGAGTGACGATAAAAAGTTGTTTAAGAACACGTGCACACATTCATCATCTATAAGGATACCCTCTCCCACCAAAGTGGACTTGGTGTACAGGGCGCTGAGCTGACGAGTGAACAGAGTATTTCTGTTGGCCCCTGACGCTTTGATCGCAGATGTTTCTGTCTGTTTAACCACTCCGACCTATAAATTAAAACAATAAAAAAGCCAGTAGAGCATGAGCCTAAACTGCTTGCAATTAGTAAACAGTAATCATATAAAGTCAAAGATAAAGCAGAAACCTTGTGTCCGTGAGACACCAGCCGTCTGACATGAACAAACAGGCGGTGTGTGGGGATGCTGCACGTCATGAAGTTATGATCCAGATGACAGACGATGTTCAGCTCCTTTGCAGCAATCTGTTCACAAACAAAACGTCCTTCAGCGATCAGTGAAACACAAATCAGGTGCAGAGAGCCACTGTGTTGAAAGAAGACAATCATCTAAAACATAAGATATGTCTTTTATATTTGATACAGTTTAAATTTAAACTCCTTCTAAATGCATCACTAACACATCTGCTTTTTAGTTCTCACCTCTGCATCCTCTCCAAAGAACCTGTACTTGTAACCACACTCCACAGCCAACAAAGCATCCTTATGCTGCTGTTTCAGCTGGATCACCTGCTGCTCAAGGGGGGTGAAAATGCTCTTTGAACGCCTGGAGGAGGTGCTACAGTCCAATGGAGGACCCAGCTCTGCACACTTTCCTCCTCCTGTCTTGGCAAACTGAGAGAAGTGAACTCCCTGCAGAAATAAAAATACATCAAATCTGTTACGATGTAAAAAGTCACACTTGCTTTTTCAGTGTTATCAGGTACTTTACTTTTTGCATACCTGTTTTGCAGCAGCCAACCCCAGATCTGCCTTTTCTTTATCATCCTCCTCTTCACCTTCATGCTCCCTTTCTGCATGCTGCAGTCTGTGTGTAGTTTCAGGTTGACCTGTAGCACAACGAGGAGACCAATCACTGCTTTCCTGACCTGCATCAGCCGTCTCTGTTTCTTCCCGGGTGATGCTGCTGACGACACTGGGCTCAGCCCCGCAGGTGAAGCCTTTCAGCTTCTCCAACGTGGAGGAGCACAGGCTGCCTGCTTTTCGGCTCAGCGTCAGCTTTGTGTCTGAGGAGAGAAGACAAGTACTACAGTCACATCAACGACAACTTCACTTTGTACCCCTCAGCTGTAAGAGGCTGGATTTGTGGATGGATTTGTGAATGCAATAACACGAGTATGAGGCGAGGTAGGATTCTGATATTCATAACACACGTGCTTCTACTAAAAATGTTGGACAAGTTCAAATCTCGGTTACCTCAATCTTTCTGAAAATATTGTGAATGCAGTAACTTAAGAAGGAAGTCAACAAGGATTTTCAAAATTTTACCGTAAGTGCATCTACTAGTGCATCGAGGGATCGCACTGGAGGCCAAATAAATGCGTTGTGGGCAGAGTTATCTCATCACAATCTATACCAGTGCACATGTTTTTTGGAGAACTGTGATGCTGCTGTGCAGTGGACAGATATAAGTGACTTTAATGAGGGTTTAGAAGATCATGACATATTTTTCTGTCTGAAGTCAACACTCACCTTTAATGCCCTGACAGGACGCAGGCTCACACTCCACATCCTCCGCCTGGTGGTCCTTTGGAGAAGGCTTAACTCGTTTTCTTGGCAATTCCAAGTCATCATCAGATGAAAGCTTCTGCTGGAGGACAAAAATGAACTGCACTTCAGTAATTAGCATTGAGTGAAGCATGTCTGATATGTGCGTGTGAAGCTCAACTCACGTTGCCTCTTGAAAGTTGCTGCTCTGCAGGATTTGGGTTAATCCCGCGCTGCTTGTTGGAGGCAAAGCTGCTGCTGCTGCTGCTCAATCCTCCGAAGTACCTGCTGATGGAGGTCTGAGTGGTGCAGGACTTTTTCAGAGACTTTGGCATGCTTTAATGTTCGCTTACATTTGATCCATAATAACAAGTCGCATAAAAATGAATTTGCGTGTACAATAAAGTGCAGAGCTTTGACAGCCGCTGTCCAGCTTTTCAAAATATAGCAGCGCATACGATGAGGTCACAGACGCGTAAATGACGCGCGCCTTCTTCTTCCTCTTTGGTTAGCAGAGGTTGGCGGCTCCAGGTGCGTTGCTGCCTCCTCCTGGTTTCACCAGATATTCTACTCAATGCACTCTGCTCTGTGAAATCTTAAAATTATACACTCTTCATCACCGGAACTCCTCTGGAACGTGTATTGTAGTTGATTTCAAGTTTATTTCATCCTGAAAAAGTGAAAGACTGAATTGTAAACTGTTGTTTTTGCAAAACTTGTCGTATTTTTTGAACATTTTTCATTTTTCTCATGGGCCGGATTTCAAGTTACGAACATGAACAATGACGTGTCTGTCAGCAGTGCATCGTTTGAATGATTGTATGCATGTTAAACAAACAAAAACAAAGGATTAGGAGGAGAGGAAGCAGATCTGGACGGGCTGATTTGTAAACCCAGCCTGCTCAGGTGTACCGCACTTCTACTCGGGTTATGTCTGGAAGAGAGAAGAGCACAGCAGAAAGGAGACGGCACCAGGGCGCAGTCTTGTGTTTTAGAGCAGCAGATAACTGAAACAATCTGTCAAACTTCATACAAGCCCAAATGCATGTTTGTCCCTCTGCAAACCTTACTTTAAAAAATGCCATCATTTCCATCCGAGGTAACAGCTGTTTTGCCACCGCGTGTCAGGCACCCTATAAACTTTCAGAGGTTTTAATCGTGTTTGCATATTTTTGACTGCAAGTAAGTCATAATTATAACTTAAAAACCTGTTTAGAGCTCTGTTAAAAAAAAGAGAATGATACAGATTCATAAGTAAAGCTGTGTAAAAAGATGCCTTCATTTTCTCTCTAAAAACAACAAGGAAATAGCGCCTTTAAAGTCTGGTATTCTAGTAGTCTTGTAATTGTCGAACAGAATACTTATTTAGCTTATAGGATTTAAACTAATAAATAAAATTCTAAACAAGGAAACCAGAACACTTCAACTTGTGAACATCAGCCCATCTTAACCTGCCTGTTGATTGACCAGTGCTAAATTCCTTTTAAAATACATAAAGAATTATTAACAAACAAACAAACAAAAAACTCCTGATAAAGTAATAACAAACACATGCACACACAAACAAACACAAATACACACGTCTAAATATATTTTCTGTTTGGATTTTTATTTGCTTTAGGAAAAGTGAATATTCCAGAAATAAAATATTTGAACAGGACAGAACCTGATTAAATTGGAATGACCTATCAAAATGTCAGTGACAATTTTATGTCACATCATTGCACCGTTCATAGAGTCAGAAAAAAGTGCAGCATGGAAGCAAAAACATTACATTTAAGCAATACAGTATTTGGATAAGTCACACCCAGAACCCAGCCGATGAAAGTAGCATTGATAGTTTTATTTCATATTATTTCATATCAAAAAGATATAAAATGTGTTTAAAAAAAGAAAAGAAAAAAAGGAAGCAAAGAAAAGAAAACTTGAGGTCAAAACTTATTTTCATAACAAATGATAAATGTATCATATTTTTTCTAAATGTGTTTAATTTCAATATAAATCCTCAAATAGAAAAACATCTTATTTTCTTACATTTATAAAGTCATCTTTCATGACAGTTTGATGTTGAATTAGGCAGTTAACTCCTTTTAGTTATAGCAGCAAATCAAAAGTGTTTCTTAATCAAGTACCTCAAAGATGATGGGAGAACTTCATATGTTTTCATAAAAATAAATAATAACCTGGATTTATGACTTTCAAGGGAACCCAAGATTGCTTTACATTTAAAAACTGATTAATGGAAGTTTTAAAACTTTGCTGAAAAACTAGTTTATGCATTTATTACTTCTAGGCTTGACTACTGTAATTTAAAACTCCCTGAAAAGCCTTCAGTTGATCCAAAATGCTGCACCCAGTGTACTGACAGGGACGAGAAAGACAGCACATATTTCGCCTCTATTGCCTTCTCTTCATTTGCTCCCTGTTAAATCCAGAAACAAATTAAAAATCCTTTTCATCACATACAAAGTTCAAAATAAACAGTCCCCATCTTATCTCAATGACCTCATACTGTCATATCACCCTATGATGGCCTCAGCAACAATCAGTTCACACACTCACCTCATTAGTTTGTTTGTATTTTTGTTTTTTTGCAGTCAAACATGTATTCAGTAATAACGTTCATTAATTTTTCTACTTCAACTTAAAAGTGATTTTATGAAGACACACAAAGTGTGGTACCTGTGGTTTTTTAAATGTATTCTGTTATATTAATTATGTTTCTCTTCATTTAAGTTACCTGGTTTGGGGAGTTGGCCATCTGGGCAGAGGGTGTGGGCAAGGGCTGAGGACTTTCGAAACACAATAGGACCAACCAAGTGCTTGTCAGCAATGGGTATGTTTTAGGTTTAGGTATGTTATTTGGTGCCTAGTTAGTATTGGTGTTTGTTCTGTTTCCCCCAATGTGTGTAAATGGTTTAGCCAAACCGGTATAAAGATTACCCTCCTTTGTCTTTGTGTTTAAGACAGTTAAAAGTCGCTTTTAAGTAAGTTTGTATTTAGTTGATCTCTTTTAATTGGCCAACTAATTCTATTTTGAACTTTGTCTTTTTTAAATTTTGGGGGACTGAGTAAAAAAAAAACATTATGAAGTTGGTGTGGGGTGTGCTGCTTGGTCCCTCACACACCCCACACCAACTTCTTACCTAACTTCTGCACCAACTGAGGACACAGTCACACACAGGATCAGTGCTCCATAAAGCTGCATCATGAACTCAAATTGCTGATCAGTCTTGTGAGAGAAAAAGCTGCTGCTAAGTCTTTCTTTTAAAGCTCAACGTGCTTGTTTGCTCTGAGAATCTGAGGGTTTGCATCTCTTCAAAAAAGCCAAAAACCCCCACAGTTTCATGAATAACCATGCCCCCTCAGTGACATCACTGCCAGACACCATTTTTGGAAATTAAGGAAAGAACTAAAACTATGCTGTAGTGTTACTGAATAAACTATCATATCAAATGAAAATTAACTTTGCTCTCTACATGTGTTCAAACATCTTTAGGTGTCTGCAGCATGAGGGAAACTTGCCATGTTCAGTGTGACTATAAATACCCTTGGTGTAAGTGTCAGCTGTTTTTAATTTGAATTTATGTTTTCTTTATGGCTCATTAAAGCCTTTTTGAACATACCACCTTTGTTTTTTCACAACAAATTATTAGAACTTTTCTGTTGTGGTCTATTTGTGTACAGGAACAGGAAGTAAGTGTGCATCAGAAAGTTGTCATTGTAAAACAAACTCCCATCATTCTCTACTTTGTGTAGTTCTACCACAGTGCAGTTTTAAGTGAAAAATTATAAGTAATTAAGTATTTATAAAGTGGTCTTAGAGCAGCAGATTTATTGTTACTGTAAAATGTTTTAAGGACAAATATAGCAAAGTGAAGTGTATTAATGTTGTATTAGAGCACGCTTACACAAGCTGTAAGTTTTGTTAAACTCTTTCAATATTCACATCCATCAGTGTGTGCTTGATAAGTTCTGTAAGTAAAAGTATACTGTAGTTACATTAACATTTGATGGAAAATTTATGTTAGAATACATGTAAAAGCTGTTTATACAAAATACATATCTTTAGCATTTGGTTTCATTTCTGTTGTGTAATATGAACAACAGAGGCACAGGCCTTCTCACAGAGGCATGTGCCATCTTGCCATGCCTGTTCCAGAATTTCCAGCCTGAACCTGGGACAAACTCATAATTGGGTTTCCTAAATCTAACATATTAATCTTTCTCAGGATAAGGAGTTACCTTTTCTTTTTAATCAGGGCATGATTGTTAGGTGGACGAATACAAAAGTATGCTTTAGAAATAATGTCTCAAAAATATAACCTGCTGGATGGTTGCTGAATCATTCAGCAGATATCTAATGTAAGTATTATGACCGACTTGTATAACGGTTTTAATTTCAGGATTTAAGATTGCATTACCATCAAATGATCTAGATTGAACTCAGAGTACTTTGAGACTTTTATCAATATCAAATTCAGGAACAACTTTAAAATAAATGGCAGACTTGTTGACTTTATATTTTAATATTAAACAAAAGGGTGTTTTCACATGTAATTTCCACCTTTTCACCTAGTTTTATACATTCTAAGGTATGAGGTGAAAACTCTCAAAATTGTTGTTTGGAATTTGTCAGAAGTTTGATAGAGCTACGAAGAACAACATTTGAAGATAGCACAGCATGCCTGTACACAATTTTGTCACAGTCTGGCAGTAGACCCAAAATGCCGACACGAAGGAACGAGGAAGAAAACTTGAATATAACATAAGGCAAGCAGTTTAATTAGGCTGATAAAAAGGTACAAAAACAAAACGGCAGATACACACTGGGGAGAAACTAACTTGAACTAAACTGTAGTGATGTGACGTTCTGTATCGAGGCTTGTGTCGAGTAATGGAGGGGGCGTTTCCGCGATGCGCGTATCGAGGCTTGCTTCATTTAAAGGAGGAGATGAAAATGATGACGTCCGAAGCCTCGCTGCCCGGCTGTACCACGTGACTGGTTCATGAAGTGGTTCGAACATTGCCGCGAGATATGACAGCGATATAAAGCCCTCAGACTTCATTCAAAATGTGGGTGTTTGATGGAGAGTTGCGGTTAGTGAGAGTTTGGAGACAGTTTGGAGGTTTAGGAGAGAAAGTCAGGAGAGAATGGAGCCAGCTAAGAAGAGGAGGATGTCCTCCCCTGTGTGGGAACATTTTGATTTTATTCCTCCCAACAAGGTATGTAAATTTCTACAGAAGATGTATTTTCATAATATTGATGGTGCAATACAATTTATGTTAAGCTGTCTTTACTTTTGTACAAGGTGAAGTGTTTGCTATGTGCCAGGGAGCTGGGATATAACAACAACACCTCATCCATGCTTAGGCACTACAGAGCTTTGCATGAGAATAAGGGGAACACCGATTGTGGAGCAAGACCAGGTGAGCCATCAAATGCAATGATTATACAGCATGCTGTAATGTTACTATTGTGATATTTTGATACCA